GGAGACAATTTTTGGGAGTTCAATGGGAGACAGGGCTCCCTGTTTCTATTTCTTTATCTGAAACACCACTGCCCAACAGAGGACAGTGAAAGGGCAAAACCCAATGCTCTGTTAGGTGTCTGTTGTCTCAGTTACTGTTCGTTCTGCTTGCCTCGCTGTACTGTCCTCTGCAGCTCTCTGTTCCTCCTGGCCGAAGGAAACTCCTGTTACTGCCAGATTCCTTCCTGCTGCAGGCCTGGCCTCAAGCTCCCAGCTGCAGGAATGTCTCTGCAGCTGCTCGTCTACAGCTGCCCATCTGAGCTTTCCTCCCTTATCTCCCCTTTTATTCCTGGTTTCTCACCTTCAGATGTTTCAATGTGCAGGTCTCTCAGACATGCCTCTGTATTGTGTAGGGGTTTCTTTGTTGAATTGTAATTGATTAACTTGTTGCAATTAAGGGGGAGAGGCCATTGGGATCTCTCATGCTGCCATTCCTCTGATCCATTCCATCATGTATTCAGTCATACCCACAGACTGTAGACACTTCTCTCTGCTCTATAAATTTTCTCAATAATATTCTTATGTCCAATCTAAGCAACTTGAGATAGACCTAAGGACTCTGCACACCAGATAAAGTATCCTTTAGCACATCCAGTGATGATAATCCCTAATAGCCTTATTTTAAACTATAAAACAATTTGGATTATTTTAATTAGATTCCACATATAAATGAAATCACATGGCATTTATCTTCCTCTATCTGACTTACTTCTCTTAGCTTAAAACCCTGTAGACCTATCTATATTTAAAAAAATTAAAAACAAAGAAAAAAATTGGTTTATATTTTTCCTGAATCTGCAAGGTTCCAATAGTTTATATGGAATTTTATGTAAGAAAAAGTAATGCAATTAATTTTGATTAAAAGCTATGTACATATATTGTCCTCTTATTCCTTTATGGAAAATTTTGTTGTGCAAATATATATATAAAACTAAAATATCTCATAGCACCATTCACAATAGACAATGACAAAAAAATCCAATATATATATCAGTGAATAGATAAACAAAATATGACATAGCCATTCAATGAAATATTGAACAGCCATAAAAATTAATGAAGTATTAATAAATGCTACAACATATATAAACCTCAAAATTATACAAAGAGAAAAAGGCTTACACAAAAGGTTATATACCTACCGGGGATGTGCCCGCAACCAATGTACATGCCCTTGACCGGAATCGAACCTGGGACCCTTCAGTCCGCAGACCAACGCTCTACCACTGAGCCAAACCGGCTTCGGCCATGTGTACAAATCTTACCATTGCCCCCCCCCCCATGTCCCTTTCCTTTGATTGCAATGTATAAATACAAATGTAAACCTGCCATTTCTCAGGAGCATTATCTCAATTTGTTGAGGTTCTGCTTCCTGGCATATGTCAACAGTTAGGCTCAAATAAACTGACAAAAATTCTTTACAGGTTTAAAAAAAAAAAGGTTATATACCATGTGATTCCATGTATATTAAATATTCAGAATATATATTTGCATAGGGACAGAAATTGGTGATTGCTAGGGGCTAAGAAGAAAGGAAATAGAGAATGATTGTTTAAAGAGCACAGAATTTCCTTTTAGAGTAATACAAAAGTGTTTTAGAACTAGACAGGTATAGTGGTTTGTAAATAATGTGAATGCGCTAAACCCATTTAATTGTACACTTAAAACAGTTAATTTTATAATATGTGAATTTCACCTCATTTTTTTAGAAAAGTTGTTTGCACAGAAAGATTTTGGTTGAAAGTCTTAGGAAGAGTCCTTTGTAAATTATTTTTTTTCTGAATTCTGAAGAGTAAGTAATAATCAGGTATCATTTAAAATGTTTAATTTCAGTTGATAAAAACATTAAATATTGAGTTGAGTTGAAAATATATTAAGAAAAAGCCTCTCTTTCTTATATCTACTAGAACATAGAACATTAAAAATGAATACCAATCATATATCAAATAAAACTGCCACAACTATTGTACTTTTTACTTATTAGTTGAGTCCTGTATAATTTCTTCTTTTATTAGTGGGTTTGTATAAGCCTCTCTTTGATAACATATCATACTTTGGACTAAAAGAAGTCCTAGAAATTTCATCAATCCATGATGCAGTCTGACAAATATCTGAGCTATGCCAGGATTCATCTTTGAAGCTGGTCTACTCCTTTAATTATCAATAGTTAAGAATGTCAGGCTCATTTTTTCTATAATATTCTGGTGTTGCCTTTCTTTACTAGAGACATAAGATCTAGCACGTGAGCCTTTAAGGGAGCATAAGTCATGTGTAGATGAGACTAAATACTTATAGTTAACTTAATATATTCTTTGTTATATTAAAATACATAGTATTTCATCAGGAGTTCTTGACTGATTCCCCTAGAAGTTAGAATATGCTATGGACAATAATGACATTACCAGATCTACACAACCTCCAGTCCTTTCTATAAATGTAAATTTTTGACAGAGTTATGAACATTAATAACAATTCAGCTATACAGAAGTATTTTAATTTTTTTTTATTTGAGAGAGAGACAGAGAGAGAGAGAGAGGAAGGGGGAGTGAGAGATGATAGAAATATTGATGGGGGAGAATCAACATCGATTGGCTGTATCCTGAATGCCTCCCACCAGGAACTGAGCCCACAACCCAGGCATGAGCCCTGATCAGGAATCAAACCAGTGAGCTTCTGATGCATGGGTCAATGCTCAACTGGGCCAGAAGTATTTTTGATTTACTAATTTTTCTCCTGTAGTTTTTATATGAGTGTTGAGTTATTTAAGAATTACAGAACACAACACACACCCAGTAAAATTTTAGAAAATTTAATTCAATCCTATATCAAAAAGAGGGGATATGCTAATTGACCCTCACACCATCACAAAGATGTTGGTGCCTATGGCCAATAAGGAGGGAATATAATAATTGACTGCCCCACCCTCAAAGATGATGGCTCCCACAGCCACAAGATGATGGTACCCAGTCCCCTTAGCCCCGCTTCTTGATATCAAATATGTTAGACAAGACAGTGCAGCATTTAAAGCAAAGCTATTTTTGTTCTAATAATGAGTCAAGACTCTTTATCAATGCCCTGCTAATTTTGATGTTTTACAGGTGGTCTGGCCCTATAGAAACATCCACTGCTATTGTCTCTACTTCTTTTGGGTGGTACTTTCCTTGGTCTTTGGTAGTTTGTTCATTACATGTGTTGATCAGTACTCTGCTAAATACCCAAAGGAGAAGACCCACTCCAAAACTTTGGACTTCTCTTTGTTTCCTTCTTTGCTCTCTTCCCTGCTTATCTTAGATTCAACTCGGGAAGTCCATCAGTTTCATGTCTATGTCATGACCTAAAAACTCTCCTAAAGCAATGAGCTGAGACAGTCATAGGACCACAGGTTTTTGTCCTGTCTTTCAGGGATCATTCCTTTGTTGCATAATGTCCAATATTTTTAAAAAACATTGTTGCATACATTACATCTACTTTGTTTTTTTGATTGCTTTAAGTAAAAGAGTAAATGGTATTCTTTTTTTACTATATTGCCTTCAATCAGGGTGATTCTCTACTGCTTTAGAAGCAGATATTTTTCTTATAGACTCACATGTATGACATGTTTTTAGTTGACACATATTTTGAGGTGAGGAATCAAATCCAGTGACTTACCGGCTGAAAATAATTTATTTGATAATACAATAAAATAAGTTAAAATATATAACCAACCAATTAAAATTGACAATAACGTGTAACTTTGGAATGGTTTTAGTAGAACTTACTCTTAAATTTTAAAAGCTAGAAATATTTTTGGCATTATTTATTCAGTGTTCAAACTTCCTTTAAAATAAATTTTCTTTATTTTTTAAAATCTTTATTGTTAAAAGTATTACATATGCTCCTCTTTCCCCCATTGACCTCTCCCATCTTACTTGTGCTGCCACACCCCAGGCCTTCACCACTCTATTGTCTATGTCTATACATTATGCATATGAGCATATGAGTTCATTGGTTGATCTCTTCATACCCTCAACACCCTCCCCTGTTTTCCTTCTGAGGTTTGATAGTCTGTTTGATGCTTCTGTCTCTCTGAGTAAAGTTTTGTTCATCATTTTATGTTGTTCAATAGATTCCACATATAAGTGAGATCATGTCATACTTATCTTTCTCTGACTGACTTATTTCACTTAGCATAATGCTCTCCAGGTCCATAATGCTGTTACAAATGGTAATAATTTTTATTTATTTATTTATTTATTTATTTATTTATTTATTTATTTATTTTTATTTATTTATTTTGCAGCAGTCTACTATTCCATTTCTAGATGTACCACTGTTTTTCAATCTGCTCATCTGCTAATGGGCACTTAGGCTGATTCCAAATCATAGATATTGTAAATCATACTGATATCTGCATAGTGGTGCACATATTTTTTCTGATGAGTGTTTCTGGTTCCTAGAAGAGATGTCACTGGGTCAAAAGGGAGCTCCATTTTTAATTTTTTGAGGAAACTTCATACTGTTTCACACAGTGGCTGTACCAGTTTGCATTCTCACCAGCAGTGTACAAGGGCTCCCTTTTCTTCACATCCTCATTAGCACTTGTTTCTTGATTTGTTGAAGGTAGCCATTTGACAGGTGTGGCATGCTACCTCATCACTGTTTTGATTTCCATTTCACAGATGACAAGTGATTTTGAGCATTTTTTCATATGTCTTTTGGCCTTCTGAATGTCCACTTTGGAAAATTTTCTGTTTAGGTCCTTCGCCCATTTTTAAATTGGATTGCTTATCTTCCTTATGTTAAGTTGTATGATTTCCCTATAAATTTTGGAGGTTAACCTTTTATTGGGTTTTTATGGTTTCTATCTTACATTTAAGTCTTTTATCCATTTTGAGTTTACTTTTGTGTATGGCATAAGTTGGTGGTCTAGTTTTATTTTTTTATATGTATCTGTCCAATTTTACCAACATCATTTTTTGTATTTCAACAAACTGGAAAACCTTGACAAATGGACATATTCCTGGAAAAATACAATGTTCCAAAAACTCAATCAGGGAGAATCAGAAAACCTGAATACACCAATACTATAAATGAAACTGAGTAAGAAAAACAAAACAAAACAAAACAAAACCTCTCAGCAAACGAAAGTCTTGTGCAGATAGCTGCACATGGGATTTTTACCAAACATTCAAAGAAGAACTAGCACCTATCCTCCTCAAACTATTCCAAAGAATTCAAGAAGAAGGAACACTTCTAAACTCCCTCTATCAGACCAGCATTACCTTAATCCCCAAACCAGATAAAGACATTACAGGACAAAAATCCCTGATGAACATAGGTGCTAAAATCCTCAATAAAATTCTAGCCAATCAGATTCAGAATTACATCAGAAAGATCATACTCCACTACCAAATAAGATTTATTTCAGAGTTACAAAACTGGTACAATATCTGCAAATTAATAAATGTGACATAAACAAACTGAAAGATAAAACCCACATGATCATATCAATTGATACAGTAAAAGCGTTTGACAAAATACAACACCCATTTTTAAAGTATTTTTTTATTGATTTCAAAGAGGAAGAGAGATATAGAAACATCAATGTTGAGAGAGAATCATTGATAGGGTGTCTCCTGCCCACCCCACATTGAGGATCAAGCCCACAACTCAAGCATATGCCTTGACTATGACCTCCTGGTTCATAGATTGATGCTCAACCACCCATTTTTTATAAAAACTCTCAGCAAAGTAGGAATAGAGACATCAAACCTCAACATATTAAAAACCCTATATGACAAACCTGCAACCAATAACATATTCAATGGTCAAAAACTAAAACCATTTCCCCTAAGAATGGGAACAAGACAGGGATGTCCACTCTCACCATTCCTGTTTGACATAGAACTGGAAGTGCTAGCAATAGTGATCAGGCATGCTATTGTACATAGAAAATCCTAAAAACATATTACTTCTAGACTTTATAACTGAATTCAGCAATGTAGCAAGATAAAAAATTAACACCCATAGATCAATGGAATTTTATACATCCATAATGAACTCTCAGATAAATTTTAAAAAATCCCATTTACTATTGCCACAATAACAACAGCAGCAAAACAAAAAGATACTTAGGAATAAACTTAATGAAAGAGATAAAACACCTGTACTCTGAAAACTACAGGACATTGAAAAAAGAGCTAGAGGAAGAATAAACAAATGGAAGGGCATACTGTGTTCATGGATTAGTAATTCAACACCATTAAAATGTCCATACTACCCAAAGCAATCAATAGATTCAATGCAATCATATAAAAATCCCATTGGCATATTTTACAGGCATAGAACAAATATTGCCAAAAAATTTATATGGAATAAAAGAAGAAGCCATCTTGAGAAAGAAGAATAAAGTTGGAGGGACCACAAATCATATATGAAGTTATACTACAAAGCCATTTTACTCATTATAGCACAGGAACAGGCATATAGATCAATGGAATGAGAAGAGGAACCCAGAAATCAACCCAGAAATCAACCCAGTCATTATGCTCGATTAATATGTGACAAAGGAGAAAGAGCATACGCTGGAGTCAAGATAGTTTCTTCAAAAGAAACTTCCTAAAGAACTCTTTTGAAATTCCAAGGGAATTTCATATATATATATGCACACACACACACACATATACAGTGGTTGGCAAAAGTTGGCTTTTCATTTGGAATACATGAAACACAGTTTGTTTTTGTATGATTACTTATTAACTAGAGGCCCGATGCATGAAGATTTGTGTAAGAATAGGCCTTCCTTCTGCTGGCTGCCAGCACCAGGGACCTGAGCCTTTGCTCTGGCCACTGCCTTCCACCTTCACTCGCTACCCAAAAGCCCTGAAGGGCCCAGTGAGTGGCAAAACGCCTGCAGAGTCACCGTGGAGATGATGCAAGCATCCTGTCCTGGAAGCCACCATCTTTGTTGCATCAAATTGCATATTCCCGCCTTATTGGCTATGGGCACTGCCATCTTTGTCATGAAATGATGATCAATTTGCATGTTCCATCTTTATTAGATAGGATTTGTATTTTTACAAATGAATAACTGTAAACATGCTTTTGCCCTTATAAATATTATTTGGGAACATATTTTTGATCAAAACTTTTTTGTCTGACAGTGCTAATGTGAGTCAAGAAATTTGTGTTTGTTTGTTTTTTAAAAGAAATTACTAATTTGCTTTTATGCTGCTTGTGTGTTTCATTAGTAAAATAATACTTAGGAATATGCATATATTAAATATATAATAGGACTGATTTTTAACATCTTAGAAGAGATTATATGGATTTTCCTTACTTGTTCCTGGTTTTAGGGAACTAGATATTTGCATATCTAACTAGTTAACCACAAAACTCACATACTCTGCTAATTTACTAAAAATTAATTTTTAAAGATCTATTAAGATCTGTGTATGAAGCATTGTTCTGTACACTGGTATTCAAAGCTAAGTATAATATAGTTTCTGATTGTGAGGAATTAGATTCTGTAGAGGAGGAAAATGCTTGAACTATCTGTTCAATCACCTGTGTAACTGCTACGATAGAAGGGAGAAGAGCTTTGACAGTCTGGGAAGCAGTTCAAAGGGAAAATATTCCTGAGCTTTAAAAACATAGGTTAGGAAAACAGGAGGAGATTGCCTTACAGAAAATTTCAAAGGAAGGAGCCTATGCATTGCATCCCTAACTCACTCTCTGGAGGCACCAGTCATGTTTACTATTAGATCTTTACTGAAATTATTTTACAACACATTTTCCCCCTTTAAAAATAGATTAGTTAAATAAACTATATCACCCACTAGTGTTTTTAATCTACTGTCCATTTTGTAGATAGGATATTTTGTGAACCTCAACCTATCTGGCGATATTCTGCTTAAGTTTTCCTAAGAATTCTCTCGAATTCCATTAGGAAAACACCTCAAGTGTTTAAAATGTGTTCTGAGCTCCTTTATGTTCTGTTCCCTGATTGCCCCCTAAACTTTGTTTCTATTTCATATTACTTTCCTCAATGCATATAGGGCAAGCCATATTTATCCCCATGTTGCTGTTTCTTTTACATTTCATGCTTTCTCTTGTCAACAAACATTTCTATGCTGTTTGAAATCCCTCCCTGGTATTTTTGCCTCCATCAGCAGGAATCTACAGAGATTCCTGCATGCTGAAGTATGGCTTTCTTATCTTAAATCTTTAAATTTCCCTTTAAAGAAAAATCTACACCGGCTCCGAGACAGATTAACCCTGGATTCCTTTCACTGGGTTTTCATATCTTTACAAGGGGCCCAGTGCATGAAATTCGTACACTGAGGGTGGGGGTCCCTCAGCCCAACCTGCCCCTTATCACATACTGGGAGCTCTCAGGGGATGTCCTACTGATGGCTTAGTGGAAGGCAACCGAGTGGATCAGGGGAAGGCACCAGCCCCATCACCCTGCTGCAGCAACTGCCAGTCACCACAGTCACCAAGGTGTTTTCTTCAACATGGACTCCAATCCCTTCACCAAGAAAAAATGACAACTTTCTTTAGGCATTTTTAAAATGTGTCTTTCATAGGATATGCATTTCTTTTTCTTTTCTTTTTAATCCTCAACTGAGGATATGTTTCCATTGATTTTTAGAGAAAGTGGAAGAGAAAGGAAAAAGGAAAAGACCTAGAGAAACATCCAAGTGAGAGGAACATTTTGATTGGTTTCCTCCTGCATGAGTCCTGATCTGGGCCCTGGCCAGGGAGGACCCTGCAACCTAGGCACATGTTCTTGATCAGAATCAAACCCGGACCCTGCTGTCTGCAGGCCGAGGAATTACCCACTGAGTCAAACCTGCCAGGGAAGGATATGATATTTCTTAGCTCTCCAGCAGCGAGCCTTTGTTTTTTTCTCCCAAAAAACCCTAGATCACCATTTTGGATTCTTATTATCCAAGTTACTAATATTATTAGTGGCATACGGGAAGCTTCGCCAATGTGCAGTCAGAAAAGAGGTTTCCTCTATAGTTCACACCAATCATGGGCTGAGCCCTGCCCAGGCCTATAGCCTCTGGCTAAAGCTTTAGGCCTGGGCAGGGGCCCTCCAGCTCCCTCGGACTGCAGACTCTTCCTCTGCCCCCTCATTCTGATTGCAGTGTTGGCCCTTCCCAGGATCCCCCTGGCTCAGGCCCTTCCCAGGCTGTTCTGGGCTTTCACGGCCTTACCTCACAGTGACCTGGGTGCCAGGATGTTCCTGGAACATAGAGGCTGGGTGCCTATGTATGCAAATTAACCACCACCTTTTTGGGGGAGGTTAATTTGCATACTCACTCTGATTGGGTATGGGTGTAGCAAGGGTACAATCAATTTACATGCTCGTCTATTATTAGATAAGATTTTCCAGATTGGAGAAGGGTGCTGTTACACTCTCTGCCTTCTGCCATCACCTCATTGTGCAACTGGTTTCTGTTTGTGTTAGTTATGCAAGAAGCACTGACCTTCAGGTCATTCCTCCAGCAAGTCTCTCCACTATCTAAGGGATCACTGATTTTTCCTTTTTATTGAGTGTTTTTCATCAGCTATCAAACTTGACCACATTTACGCCTCTATCTACTATCAATGATCTGTTCCCTTACTTTCAAATCTCACAAAAGCCTGCCTCATGTTCTTCCTCTCAGATGTTCTTTTGTTCCCAACTCTTCACTAAATGCAGCCTGTTCAAAATTGCCAATGATTTGCACATTACTAAATTCACTGGTCAATCTTCATATCAAGTCACACTGACCTTTCAGTAGATTTCATCAAAATTGCAATTTCTTCTCTTTGACATCCTTTGTGGGATGTCTCTCCTCTCTGAGAGGGGCATGTTCCAGCCTTAGGCGCTGGCTATTTCTTCTTTATACACACTCAATCTCACAGTGATCTCACTCTCCTGGATTCAAATTTCCATCTCACTTGTCCCAAATTATCTGGTTCTTGTTTCTTGGATTGCTCATTTCATGTATTCTCCTTATCCTCTCTGTTCTTTCTTCTGGAATACTTCTACCTTAGTTTAGGACTTTATATTTGCTATTTCTTCTGCCCAGAATGTCTTTTTTCCA